TGTTTTTAGAGTGCAAGAGAATTTAGCCTCAGAGCTCCCATTACGCCATCGCTTCATAAGGAAATTTGTTCCAGCTTTTCTCATGTGTTTACAACCACCTTCTCCTACACTGCAAAACTTTATTTTGATGTAAAGAATATGAGCCTACCCTGTTGGACAGTTTCTTGTCTTGGATAGTTAGGATTCCAAATGAAATATTTTCCAAAGTAGTAGACTTTGCACCTCCTTAATCTTCTTTGGGGAAAACAATAAATGCGCTCAGGACTATACCAGGCTTGTGCTGGGACAAAAACATTGGCCATTGTTCAAGAGTAAACCAGGTCAGCACTAAGAACACAGGGATTCATTTCCGTTGAAATTGATCTCTCGGTGCCTCACACACTTATTACAAACTCACTCGGCAGGCGGCAAAGCCCCGCAGTCATTAGAAAGCAAATATTTTCTCTTTGACTTTTAGTAAGTTATCACTTGTGATTTTCTGGTATTTCATAGGCATGCTTGTCTTGTGAATATGATAGACAATAATACGGCACCGGAAGTCGGTAGCTGTGATAAGCAAGGAAATAGTTCATCTGTGCAGATCCAGCGTTAGTCTGAGGTAGTTCAATCCCAAATCTGTCCCCAGGCTCTCACAGTCTCACTGAGATTGAGAAAGTTGTGCCCAGACCATCCCACACAGCAGTCTTCCATCCGAAACAGGACTGATGTATTTTGAATGTATGATCTGCTCCTGATAAGTTCTTTGGGGTAAAGAGAGCAGATGCAATAGGGGCTGACCTAGAACCCTTCCTTCACCTTCTAGGGCTGCTAACAGTCTCAGTAGTTCTTATTAAAGTATTTGCTCTAGTTCAAAAATATCTACCAGTACATTTTTTCCCTTGAAGTATTATTTCAGTACAAATTAAGGAATTCTGTAGCTTGAAAGAGTCCCAAATTTGCGTATCATTTTAATAAGTGCAAGGTAGTTTGGAACTGAAAAAGTAAAATTGTTGTCTGCTTTGCCCTTGGCACCTCAGCCTCCCTGGAGGTTACGCCACAGAGAGGGTAGCTAAGTGGGGAGATGGGAGATGAAGGGTTTGGAGGCTCTTAGCCACATACCAATACATTTTACAGTAAGCATTGAAAAGCCTGCCTTCGATTGTACTTCTTCCCATGGGGTGCATGGATTGACAGCTAAAGAACCTTCTGCCACAGTTTGAAACCTCTGCATAGGAGCTAGAGGTGTGTGGGAGGGCATCAGGACCTCCTTCTGCTTGCTAGCTGTCACTTGCTAACCAGAGTATCACCATTATGGTCCTTCCTTTTGTGAATGTCAGTTGTCCGCCTGTAGAGAAAAGATACTACTACTTACAGGCTGGGTTAAAAAAGTGATATAGGCTCAGTGCCTAGCACAGTGCCTTGAGGGCATACCCTTGAAGGACTTCAGTAAACCTTGATTCTTTTTTGCCTTTACAACTTCATTTGTGGAAGCATATTGTAGAATTGGTAAGAATGATTATTGGCTGACTCGTTAAGAGATTTTTCAGGGACAGGTTTATTTATATGCTGTGTTTCCTCTGATTAATGATCTCCCATTGAACTCCTAACGACCTATAAGGAGGTGAAATGATCTTCCTTTATTCACAATCTGTGCTATGTTTGCAATTCTGGCTGACAGAGACAGCCTCAGGAAGTCAAGATCAAGCCCTCAGTTATAAAGATATTTTTTTTTTCTGGATTCGGTGCTATTTTAATTACGTGGATTCTTCTTTTTCTTTTCAGCAGAAGAGCTATGTAGTTTCATACCTATAGTTATCGCCTAATGTCTCAAACTATTTGGCTGTTTTCCTTTATTTGGACATGGAAGCAGAGGAATTTTAATTTGTCCAAAAGTGTTTGCTGTTTTCAAACATAGAGAAGAGTGACTTATATTTATAAAGTGCTAAAACATTATCATTGTTTTGTGTTTGGTGGTTGCAAACTCAGAACTTTAGGTATTATTAAGAGCTTTCAACACCTTCTCTTTCCCTTTGAAAAATAATCAGCATATTGCTTGCCACTAGCATTTTTTCAAGGAAAGCCAAAGACAGTGTTTTTTAGTTTCTGAAAATCTAATTCCAAATGCAATCACAGTACAAACTGGTTATACCTTTTGGGGGTAGGTTAACAAGCTATTTGTCCTTTTTGTTTTTACTTTCAAACTCATTTTATATTTTCAGCTTTCAGTAAAACTAATTGCTTTCTTGATGATGCAGATTTTTTATTGCATTAGAGAAAAGACTTGATAGATACACCTTGAACTTATGCCAGACATCCCCACAAGCACCCTGACATACGGCCATCAAAGGAAAGCAGAAATTCACACACACACACACACACACACACACACACACACACTTTATCCTTCTGTTTAGAGAAAATAGAAAGCCAGCTCCGTCCATGTGTACTCCGACTCTTATATATTATTATTTCTCTAAATATAGTTCAGGACATTTGTCAGTGAACTGTGAATCTCTTGTTAAAAATAAAGTTGAAATTCAAATCTCAAAATAAACCAAGAATTATCTGTAACTCCTTGTCACTTACGTGTTTCATTTTGGATTGCTGAATTTAGGACCTGTGGAATTCCATTGTGGGCAAAATTATTTAAATAACTATTCAAAGGCTATCAAATGTTGTAAACTTAATGGTTATATTTGCTATTTCAGGTGAATACTACAAAACTCAATTGATTTTCTAAGAATGTATTTATATTATATATATATGTATATTTATAGTGGAGACAAGGAAGTAAAATGATTCATTTACAGTGACATTTTAATCCATATTTTTTCTTTCTGTATTGCTATCACAAAACTCCTCTTGACACTGGAGTTGAGTGCGTGTATGAAGTGGAGAATTCTTGTCACAAGCTTTCCTCTGTTGTCTGTAAAAAGAGATGCATGTGGTTTTTATTAATTCCTCGCAGCCACCATCCCTTCCGTGTTCTGCTTTGTAGGCAGTATATTCTCTTTTAGTACGTTTAGTAGCTTTCAAGGATCATGCCTTGACTTGGGAATGTGTGCTTTGTGTTCCTAACTTCCCTCACTGTGGGCAGGACTTGCCTGAGAGGATCCAGGAGGGACTTTCGCCTTTATTCAGCAAATGTCTATTACTGTTCTTACAGTCTGTCAGGGTATGAGTTGAAAAGGAAAAAGCCAGATGTTTTTAATGGTGCACTCACTACCAACTTTTTGTTATCATTTATGTACAAAAGGACATTCACTTTGTTTCCAGTACACTGGAACTTTTGTTCTGTTTTGTTTTGCTTTGATTTTCCCCAGTTCTATGTGTAACCATTCAGGAAACTGCACATTGCACTACAGTAGCTTTTGTGACTTGTGCCAGTGGAAAAATCCTAGGCATGCCATATTAACTAGGCAATGTAAAAGCATATTGCAAACATTATTATCAGAAGAGAACATCTTTATTAGCCTGAAATCATTTTGAGCAATCATGTCCGCAGTAACAGTGATAACCAGTGGATGATAAACTGAGAATGGATGCCTGAATGCCGTGAAGAAGTCAGTTTGTAAATCAGAAGAGGAATGGAGAGAAGCAGATACTGTCCTCAATCTGAGCACATTCTCCAACCTCTGCCATGAGCTAGGAAAGATGCCCTTGCAATGCTCGGTGAATAGGCTTGGGGACAGTAATGAAGCTATTATAAGGTAGTTTCTGGTTATTTCATATTCTTATTTTACATGGCTCAGTTTAAAGGCTTTATTCGACAAAAGGAGTGTGACTTAACCTTCCAGAGAGACATGAATGCACAGGCAGCTCGATGGATGGGGAAATACTGCCACCTTGTTATGGTAAGGGTAAAGTGAGTCCAGCTGACAGCAAAATGACTTTCCTTGTTCAAAACCCGAGCATCCTAAGCAAACCTGGAAATACCTGAGCAGCGGGATCACATCCTTCCCGGCTGCAGCTTCGTGCCCTTCATGTGCCTGGCAAAAATCAGCTTTGCAGAGACCCTTTGAAGTCCTCTTTTGAGAGGACTGGCATCTGCAGTGAGTCTGCACTCCTTCCCCACTCTGCCTGCTGGATGAGGTCCTCCTTCCAGCTCGCCCTGCCAGGCCTGCATGCCGCCTCCTTCCAGGCGCTGGCTTTGAAGTCAGTGGGAGCTGCGCGTGACTGGTGGGAGTGGGGAGTTTGGAGGGAACTAGGTAGGCTGAGCTCCTTCCACACTGCTGTGTGGGATTAGAGGCTGCTGCTTCTCTCTCTCTCTCCCTCTCATATATTTATTTTTGCTTTGAAATGTGTGTCTTGTCTTGGCTAAAATAAAAAAGGAATTGGCCTGGCTTTAAAGAACTCTCCATCACTAAGTTGTTTATACAAAGTTGACTGTGACAAGCAGCTGCCACCAACATCACTGGTGCCAGGATTTGAAACTTGGGCGTTTACCCATTTCGTGTATGCTTAGATTATGTAGAGGCTGAGCAAGGACTGGGGTATGTCAGAAAATTTGCAAACGAATCCTGATGCTGTCTCTTGTTGCCTCATTTTCCATCTGCATGAAGCCAGTTACTTCTCCTCCCGGAACCCTTATGCCTTATTTGTAAAATGAGGGTTGGTTGAAGAATTAGGTTGTGTGGTATTCTGCATATGCTTTACATAGTTCTGGTCCATCTCAACTTCTTAATATCTCATGTTTTTTGTCATGATCAAGACTGTATTTACAACATGGCAAAATCTTTACTGCATACCGATTAGGGCTAAAGGGCAACCTTTGATTGGTTTTTAAAACAATACCGCTGAAATAATATGAATACTTCTTTAGGATTATGTAAATAGTACTCCAGCTCAGCGGGAAGATGGTTATTCCATACATACAGTATTGGGATTTTCTAAAATGAATGGTTACCGGAAGAAGACACCCATGTCATTTGTAGATTTGTCCTTGAATGTGGCCCAGCCTGGTTTAGGTTGTTTCAGTTTTGTCACTCAGATTTACATCTTGTCTTTCTTTCTGTTTTTAGTTGTTTGGATTTCTCCCAGAGTATTTGTGGCTGAAATTCCTTTTGGACTCTGAGCTGCCTTTTTTCGCATAAGCTTTGGACTGGAATCAATAGAATGTCAAGATGCCAGGCACATTCTGCCTAATAGCAGGTGGGTGTCTGCTGGACAGTGTGCCTGATTTGCCTGACAGTAGCAAATTTAGGCCAGAATTAATGAGCCAGAGAAGGTACTGTTGATGTTGCAGGATTTCGGCACTTTTCAGACGTAATTTTGCTTTTCTCTTCCAGTGGAATTCTGTTTGTGCAAGAAATATGTGTTCATGTATGTGTATAGGTGTGCATGCACCTATATTTTGATGCCTTTATGATTATATTGAAACCACTTATTGGAAATTTTATTTATATATATTTAAAAGACTTTAGCAGGGGGTAAAGTCATGGTTGGTCTTAATCTGTTTCGTGTTCAAAGAGAAGACACATACAAAAGCTTAGTGAATTACTGAAGTTCTTTATTACATTTTACCAGGGCACATTCTTATTATATAAAAAGCTCATGTTAGAGACTAACTGATGTGCAGAAAGCAGGTCTCTTGGGGCTGTAAGTAAAAGGAAATGGGTTTAGAGCCAGACATATTCCATTTGAATCTTGCATCTGCTCTTTACAGTATGTTGAAAACCCCCACTTCCTAAGTCCTTTTAAAAACTGTATATGGGTATGCAAATGAAAATGATGCTTCTGTATATTGCAGTCACTGCATAAATACTGGCTTTCTAGTTAACCCTTAGAGACAGAAGACCAGAGTGATGATTTGAGTTTCTTTCATGTTTACACATTCCCTGGGCTTTTTGTTTTTCTTGTTCTCTTGTGACAGCCTTTATCTTGTTTCAGCTTTCAATTTCAAATGTAAACTCATTTCTGCAACTCATACCTTCTAATTGTTGACCACAATACCTTTTAAATGTGTGTGCCTTCCCGCAATTGGATGGTATTGAAACACTCTCATCTAGATTTGGGCTGAAGATACAAAACTGGAAATGCGACTTATGCAAAGCAGTATTCATTTGTTGGGAGATGATCTGAGGAGGCAGCAGGCCCAGTGTATTCCAGATTCTAGAACAGAGCAAGTGGCATTCTGAATGACAAGCCTTGGGCTGGGCATGGCTCGTTACAGAATGCCACTTAGCCCAGAAAAGACTAGCCTCTCTATTTAGTGGTCAAACAAAGGAAAAGAATAGCTTGCTGGTACCATGAGAATCTCATTTAAACATTTCAGAAAGCTCTACCATGTCTCTGCTTTTTGAAAGAATATGGTGGTTATTCCTTTTCTGTAGGTTCACATCCTCTATCTTCTTGGGCTTTCAAGTCCCAAGCATAAAATAAGTACCTGAGATTTCAAAGTATCATTTTCCTGGGAAATGGAAGTTTAAATTCTCTGTATAAAATGGTGACCTGACATACCTTCTAATGAAATTTGTTTTACAAATACCAAGTTTTAAACTTAGAGCAATGGCCTTTATATAATAAAGTTATCAACTGTGATTCTGGAAAACACTGTTGATCTGTAGAGTTGTGAAAAAGGTGTCACAGAGTTCCCTTCTCATATTTCATTAGAGTGAAAAATTGTCTAATATTTTGGGTCATTTTGCAGTGTCATTCTTTCTTAGGTTCCGCCCTCATATGGGAGTTACAGCAAATGTGGAATTAAGGCATTTCATTTTAGTTCGGGTTTTAACTTTGAGAGCTGAGTCTTGGCTGGGGTTGACAGTTGCCCCTACAGCCATAAACCCATTTCAGTGAAGTACAGTGAGGAACCTGGAACAAGAGCTCCTTCCTGGGCAGTCACTGCCACTCTTCAGTCTGTGTGACATGCAGAGTTAAGTGTGTGTGCGGGTCCTGGAAGTTTGGTATTATTCTGTTCATAGTCATTTCATCCTATTCAGTTTAGTCTTGTGATTTTATGATTGGATGTAAGTGAGTGAATGTGTGGGCATGTGAGATGTAGTTGTGGTTTCTTTCATTTTAGGAATCTCTTTTAAAGTCCTAGAAAGCTTGAGTTGGAGACCTAAGGAAAAGGTAGAAGTTATTCCCTCGTGAATTCTCATTCTTTTTTTTAAACTCTTCTTTTAAACTCATTCATTGTTTTCATTTGCATTTTGTTTGCTGTGGAAGTACACATAATGAAGTTGTTAAGAAATCTAGAATCGGGACACGGAATTTTAACTCCAGGGGCATTTATTCACATAAATTTTGAGCAAGTCACGTATCCGTGATTGGGTCAGGTTTTGCCTGTGCATATTGAGAATAACTGGGGAACCAACCTTTGAATGCTACTGCGTAGGTTCAATGAAGACATCTCAAGCTACCTACAAGATAAACACATACTCAGCCACTCAATAAATGGTAGCTATTGTTTTTGCTACAATCATTTCCATGCTGTGTGGAGTGGGAATTACAATTAGTCCTATCTTAAGTAGTCCTTGTGGGGATGCCATGAGATATTGTTATACAGATTTGCTCTGCAGGGAAATGCTCAGTAAATTCTGTCTGTTTTATTAACTCAAGAAGAATGCATCTAATTTTGAAAACTATTAAGTACTGGCTATGAGAAGACTATCACTTTATAAGGCCTTATGTATGCTAGATATAGTTTAATTTTTGCTGCGTATTTCTGTAATTTTCTGCTCCATTTTTTCATTCTAAAACTGTAGAGGTCAAAATTAAGCTGCTTCCTTACTCTGTCCTCCCTCTCTCCCTCCCTGCCCTTATCTAAAATAGAAAACTCTCTGAAAGGAAAGAACTAAGGGAAATTCCCATGTGAGGAATGAAACTGTCCGTGTGAAGGGTTAGGGCTTTAGGAATTGTGTGCACGGAATCGTTGAATGATAATCTTTACAGGATGCTGAAAATTACCAGCAAGAACCAACTTTCAAGGTTAAATGGCTTCTCCCAGGATTTCTACATGTACCTAAGACTCATGGATTTAGCTATGGTGTCCGCCTCATTTTTATGCTGTCACACAGAAGCACAGACAGAAAAGAACATTTAAAATGTACACATTTTCTTAAATCAGAAATCAAAGAAACTCTTAGTCTACTCCAGAAACCTTGCTGCTGGTAAATTGGAGCAGGCGGTTTTCCCTGAATCATAGCTACAAGGAGTTAATCCATTGAGCATCCAATGGATGCTCTGTGCCTTGAACAGAATTCAGATGTGCCTAACGCAATGAATTTCAGCAGCAAACACTTCTATTTTGGCAACCATTGCTCGAAGCTCCAAGTACTCCAAGAATCAGGCCACAGATGCCTTGGAGAGGCAGAAGCTCTGAGCACATCCCAGGACTCTTCCAGGCTAAAGTTAGAAGCACAGCTCCCGGTCCTCTTCAAGAATGTTCCTTCAAAGCACCATGCAAGAAGGAAGCAGAGCATCTTATTGCTCAGTGTGGACTCATGCTCTGGAGAGAAGAAAACAGGAATCTCTTGTCTCTTAAACAGAAGTTAATCTTAAACTAACCGGAATCTGACAGTGGCTATATGGATGTTGTAGGAATAGTTGGTGATTGGTTTTAGTTTTTGCTACTGATGGATGCTGTGGTGTTGTAGATTGTCTTTATCCATGCAATAAGATTTATTTATTTATCTGTCATCGAATATGGGCTCTGACATGACCAGTGAGGTCGAACGCTCCAGAAGGAAGGCCCTACACTTAAAGCACTGTTTCCTTAGCCTCTCTAAGCTCTGGTGAACTAAGCTACTTTGCTATCTGCCTGGAAAATGAATGTGAACCAGTGAGTTTGTTAATGTTTACCCAGGTCTAGGAAATGCATCTTCTGAATCTAATTGCATGTATCAGGTTGCACATGCGTGTACCATGTATCAGGCTGTATTTCCCTGTTTAAATCATTAGAGAAAGAAATTACATGAGAAAATTGCTGAAAACTCTAACAGAAAAATGTAGGGGCCAGTGAAAGCTGGGAAAAGCTTTTTGAAATCTGCAGTGTCTTATTTCTATATTTCTGTGAAGCAGCAGGCATGCAGGGCCTAGCTCGGGTGATGGGAAACAGTTGGACTGTGAGTCCCTTCCTTGGATAGTCTGCCCTTCTCTCTCCCCTTCCTGTTTTTCAGGACATGGCAATATGACCTCCAGGGGCACAGAGGACAGAAGTTCTTCTCTGGGCTCTGGTACCCGCTTCTCTGCTCACAGGCAGGCAGAGAATCGCCCACTGTGCAGTGGCTGGCGGCTGCCGCAGATGCCCGCTCATTCACACAGGGTCCTGAGTGTGCTCCAAGCGGCTTTCTCAGCCACGCAGAGTCAGTTGTGCAGGTCTGCAGCTGCACTTAGGCGAGGAGAATGCCGGTGGTTCAGGCATCTCTAGCCCCACCTTCTGTGTGGGAGCTATAGGAGGCTTTTGTACTTCTGCATTTCACTGCAAATGGGGCAGCATCCGAAAGTGGGAGTGTTTGAAGGGCTGGTGGAAGCAATGCATAACGATATAAGGGCACTAAAAAGGCAAGGGACAGGCAAAGGATTGGTGGCAGGAAGAAAGCATAGGATATTTAACTTACCCTGGGAAGTGTGATTGGCATTGCAGCCTACTGGGCACTGGCCATGGGACTTCTGGCCCAGGTTTGTTCCTTTGTAAAGTGGTGGCCCCAGTAGCTACCTACCACGTGGGGGGAGATTAAGGAAGATGATGCCCATCAAATCCTCTGTCCTCAGCATTCTGTAAGCCTGTCCTCTTGGAAGTCCTCTCTCCTCAGGTGCAACTCAGTGCAATATCTGCCCTCTGGGTGGAAAGACAAGAACTGTTTGCCCAGTCTTTTTATTTCTCTTACTGATCTGTCTCAGATTAGGGTTATTCCAGACCATCACTTTTCTCGGCAGTATTTGTACTATACTGTATTTACCCTGCCTTCTCCACTCACTCCTAGAGAGCTATTTAATGTACTGTTATAACACTGAGATTATCTTCATTTTTAAAATGTGAACCTTTTTATTTCTGAGCACAAGGGTAAGGCATATGTATTTTGGATAATTCGGAATGTCTCAAGTCAAAGGATCAATTAACCACGAACTGGAATATCATCACACTGAAAGGATCATTGCATGTGTTTATTATGTATGTGTGTGAGCAGAGATGGGGAGAGGGTACT